TAACACTTCACCCAAGGCTCAGCATCTAAACCCAAAGGAGGATTTGCTGTTCAGTGTTATCCAGTGGTGAGCCTTGTCATCCAACAGCTGTTTGGTTGTATGTCAGACTATGGGCTCTGTCCTCTGTGTGGTAAGTGGCCATCCTAGCAGTGGTAACCTTCTCATTCAAGTTTGCTGTGGTTGGGGTTTTTTAAATACACACAGAGATACATATATATACACACAGAGATGAGACACATATATATATATGAATATATATATGTACACACACATATATATGAATATATATATACACACAATATATATGTGTGTGTGGTGTGTGTATATACACACATATATAATATTCCTGGGTGTGTGAGCAGCCTCAGCTATCTAAACCTGCTAAAAACTGAAGGTAAGTTCTGCAAAGGATGAAGGGCAGAGTCTGAGCAGGAAGAACAGCAACCGCCAGCCAGCACACCACGTAAACTGCTGCTGCTTCCCGGCATCACGGCTGCAGAGGTCTGGGTGTGGGCAGGTGGGTAGGCACAGCACTCGCACACAGGTAAGAAGTTAAAGTAATGGTTGCACACCACAGACTGATTTCAGATGCTGATTTTCAGAGTTGCATTTCTTACCGCATTCTCAGGGCAAGGCAGAAAAGATGAGCTCTGTTCCCTTTTGCCCTGTCACACGCTGACACAAACCCCATTAAAACACATGGGTACATAAATACTTCCAGCTATAACTTGAAAAACTGCAGTGCTGTTCTGCTGATGAGTTAACATGTTCCCTTGTATTAACACCAGCTGTCAGATGAGCATAAACTACCTAAATCTCACATGGAGATCATAGGGCTGTTGGTCACTCTTGGTTTTAATTCTAAGCTGCAATTTGCTGTAGCTTTTTTCTCATTTCTGCTGCAGTCTCTCCTGCTACTGAAAAGAAACATTTTAATCCTAAACCCAATGGTACACAGCCTTCCACCACCACCACATGCAAGACTATAGCAACAGAACTAAAACTGCAAAACCAAAAATGACACAAACACTATAATCCTTGAGCTCACAGAAGACATTTATTAAAAGTGAAATCCCCCACACAGCTAAACACAGACCAGCTCTGTCCACACAGCTCTGCCTGTGTCATTACTTTCCTTGTACACAAGGTGGGTAAATCAGTACTTCTGTGCGTGCAACTGCATGTGTGCACATGTGTGTCTGTGGTGTGTTGGCTCCTGTGCGCCATGTATCCATGTCTGCTGTCTATGTCTCTGTCCATATGTGTCCATGTCTGTGTGTGTGTATCTGGCTTTGTGTCTTAGTGTTGGTCTGTCCATGTGTCCATTTATGTCCATCTGTCTGTTAGTGTTTCCATTTGTATGTCCTGCTGGCTGGCTGGCTGTCCTTCCGTTTTGTCTGTTGCTCCTTGTGTCCATCTTTGTGCCTGCTTGCCCATGTGTCCCTTTGTCTTTCATTTGTCTGTCTTTGTATCTGTTTGTCTGTCCATTTTTCTGTTAATACATCTTTGATCATCCTTGTGTCTGTCTGTCTGTCCATCTGTGTGTCTATTTGTCCTTCCATTTGTTTGGCCATCCTTGTGTCTCAGTCCATCGGTCGTCTTATGTTCATCTGTCCATTGTTGTGTCCGTTTGTCCTTCTTTTTGCCTCCATCTTTATGTCCATTTGTTCTTCCTTTCACCTGTCCCTTTGTCCTTGTCTGTCTTCCCAGCCGTTCATCTTTGTGTCTGCCCTTCTTTTGTCTATCTTTGTGTCCGTTTGTCCACCTTCGTACCTGTTTGTCCTTCTATTTGTGCATCTGCCTCTGTCCATTTGTTTTTCCGTGTCCCTGTGTCTGCCTGTCCTTCCTTTTGTCTGTCCACCTTTGTGTCCATTTCTTCTTTTTGTCTGCTTTGTGTCTGTTTCCTTTCGTCCGTCTTTGGGTCCATTTGTCCATCTTTGTGTCCGTCTGTGTCTGTCCTTTTGTCCCTCTGTCCTTCCTTTTGGCCCTCTGTTCTCCTTTGTGTCACTGTCTTTCCTTTTGTCTGTGTCCTGTTTGTCCTTCCTTTTGTCTGTCTGTCCATCTTTGTGTCATTCTGTCCTACTCCTTGTCTGTGTGTCAGTTTGTTGTTCTGTCTGTTCATCTTTATGTCTGCCTGTCCTCCCTTTCTTTGTCTTTGCGTGTCCGGCTCTGTGTCCATTTTCCTTCTTCTCCCGGTCTGTCCTTCCTTTTGTCCATCTGCCCTTTTTGTCTGTACATGTTTGTGTCCATTTGTCCTTTTCTGTTTGCTCTTCCTTTTGTCCGTTTGTCCTTTGTGTGTCCATTTGTCCTTCCTTTTGTCTGTCTGTCTTTATGTCTATCTGTCCTTTTTGTCTGTGTCCTTCTTTTTGTCACTTTGTCCTTCCTGTCAGTCTGTTCTTCGTTTTGTCTGTATGTCCTTCTTTGTGTCTGTCTTGTCCTTTCATTTGTCCATCTGCCCTTTTGTGTCTTTTTGTTCTTGCTTTTGTCTGTCTCTACATCTTTGTGTCCGTCTTTGTGTCCATTTGTTCTTCTGTTTGTCCTTGTGTCTGCCTGTCCTTCCTTTTTTCTGTCCTTTTGTCTTTACGTTTGTTTGTCTATGTGTCTGTTTGTCCTCCCTTTTGTCTGTGTCCTCCTTTGTGCCCTTTTTCCCCTTTTTTTCTGTCCATCCTTCCTTTTGTCTGTCTTTCTGTCCATTTTTTTCTTCCTTTTGTCCATCTGTCCATCTTTCTGTCCTTCTGGCCTTCCTTTTATCTGTGTCTCCGTCTTTGTTTCTATTTGTCCTTCTGTCTTTGTGTCTGTCTTTTTTTCCTGTCCATTTTTCCTTTTGTTTGTGTCTGTACTTCCTTTTCTCTATTTGTCCTTGCTTTTGTCCATCGTCCTTTTTATGTCTGTCTGTCCTTTTTGTCTGTGTGTCCGTTTGTCCTTTTTATCTGTCTCCTTCCTTTTGTCTGTGTGTCCTTTGTGTTCATTTGTCTTTCATTTTTGTGTCTGTCTGTTTGTCCCTCTGTCAATTTGTTCTTCGTTTTGTAGGTCTGTCCTTTTTTGTCTGTCCATCTTTGTGTCCGTCTGTCCTTCCTCTTTTTGTGCGTGCCGTCTGTCCTTTTATGTCTCTCCTTCCTTTTGCCTGTGTGTCCATTTGCCTTTCCTCTTGTCCATCTGTCCGTGTCCATCTTTATGTCCATCTGTCCTTCCTTTTGTCTGTGTCCATCTGTGTTTGTGTTCATCTGTCCTTTTTGTCTGTCCATTTATCCGTTTATCTTTGTGTCTGTCCTTCCTAGTGTCCATCTTTCTTTTTTGTCAGTCTGCCCTTGTTTGTGTCTGTCCGTCCTTTTGTCCATCTTTGTATCTGTCTGTCCTTCCTTTTCTCTGTCTTTGGGTCCTTCTGCTTGTCCATCTTTGTGTCTGTTTGTCCTTTTTTCCACCTGTCCTCCTTTGTGTCCATCTGTCCTTTTTTACATCCATCCTTCCTTTTGTCTTTCTGTCCGTTTGTCCTTCCTTTTGTCTGGTGTCTTTCTTTGTGTCTGTCTTTTTTTCTGTCCATCCTTCCATTTGTCTTTCTGTCCATTCTTTCTTCCTTCTGTGTCCATCTGTCCTTCTGTCTCTGTGTCCTTTTATCCTTCCTTTTGTCCTTCTGTTTGCTTGTGTCTGTCTTTGTGTCTATCCTTCCTTTTATCCGGCTGGCCTTCCTTTTGTGTGTCCTTCCTGTTTGTCCTTTTTTTCTGTCTGTCCTTCCTTTTGTCTGTCTTTGTGTCCGTCTGTCCTTCCTTTTGTCCATCTGTCCTTTCTGTCCGTCCTTTTGTCCATCTGTCCATTTGCCCTTCTGTGTGTCATCTTTCCTTGTGTCTGACCTTCTTTTTGTCTGAGTCCCCATTTGTCTGTGTGTCATCTTTCCTTGTTTGTGTCTGTCCTTTTTGTCTGTGTCCCCATTTGTCCTTCCTTTTGTTTGTATGTCCATCTTTGTGTCTGTCCTTCCTTTTTGTCCATCTGTTTTTTTCTGTGTTCGGTTTTGGGTCTGTCATTCCATTTGTCCTTCTCTATGTCCCTTTCACCTTCCTTTTGTCTTTGGGTCCATCTGAACTTTGTGTCTGTTTGCCCTTGCTTTTGTCCATCTGTTCCTTCCTTTCATCTGGCTGTCCTTTTGTCTGTGTGTCCATGTGTCCTTCTATTTGCCTGTCTGTGTGTGTGTGTCTGTGTCTCGAGGTCCGTGCACGTGTATGTTTTTATGTTTGTGGGTGTGTGGGTACTCTTCTCCAGATGTGGAGGCCTATATACACTCCTGTAGGGATGTGTGTGCGTGTATCTGTGCCTGGCTGTGGCTGCATGTCTGTGCTCAGCTGCGTGTGTACGTGTGCATGTCTGCATAGGTCTGCATGCATCTGAGTGCCTATCTCTGCCTCTGTGCACATGCATCTGTATGTCTGTGCATTTGTGTGTATGTGTGTGTTTGTGCACAGCTGAGTGTGAGCCTGTGTGTATCTGCTTGTGAGTTGGTGTGGAAGCGTGTCAGTCTGTGTGCATGCATGTGCACATGTCTAAGTGTATCTCTGCATGGGCCTGACTACATGTCTGTGACTCTGCATCAGTGTGCATGTCTGTGTGTGCATGTGTATCTGCACATCTGGCTGTGAGTGTGTGTCTGTGTTGGTGCATGTGTCTGCACTTACCAGTGTGTCTGTCTGGGTGAAGGGTTGTTACCAGGTGGTACTGTACCTGAGCAGGAGCCAGAAGTGCAACCTCCCATTTCTGCTCCAAAAGCCCAATTCACCACCCCCCCCATCAGTCACTGCCCAGTGCTGGAGCTTTGCTGGACTCCAGGGGGCCTGGAAGGGAAAACCAAAATCCCTTTTAAGGAAGCATTCTCATCCTGTGCTGCTCCACACGCCCCTGCCGGTCCCTCACACAACCCAACAAGCGTTTCATGTATTCATCTCTCCCTATTCTGAGCTTCTGCACCAGTTGTTTGCCAAAAATAAACACCATTCCACAACCATATATGTGCAACAGCCTGCTGGTGCCTGTGAGCCCGTCCAGCACTGCCTGCTGGTAATTCCACAGGGCCAGAGACTGTTCTGCCTACCACAGGGGCTCCGGCAGGCTATGCATATAACCCAGCTCAATCGGGAGTGCCTTTTACATCTGTTTTCTTTTCTGGACAAAAATAGTAGGAAAAGTTTAGCAAAAACATGTCACAAGCTGCTAGAAGTGTTCCAGGATCCGTTACTGTGGTCTCTCTTGAACTTCCATTCTCCAGTGGAACTAAAGAAGGATAATTTCCTCCTGGGACCTGCTTTAAAATACTTGTCCATCTGCTGGTATTCAGAGAGAGTCAAGGTGTGTAACATTGAGGACTGGATGAAAAACAGTTTCCAGAAAGACATCTGTAACAGGCATGAGAACACTGTCACTGACTTTTTACTAGAAGTTTGCAACAGGTACGTTCTTTGGGTGTGAGACTCTACATGTACTGTTAACGGTTAACTTGGAATCAGAGAACGGCTTACTCCATACATCCTGCCTGAAATGGAGGGTTTGTTAAGTATGGGAGTGCTTTGACTTTGCAGTTGTACTACAGCGCTCAGTTGGTTTTACAGTGGCAGCAGTGGGTACTTCACGCTGACTTTCCTGAAGCCTATTTTTGCCTTTTTCCGGGGGAAGAATATATAATTAATATAGGAATACAGGAAAGTGCCATGCTACTAAACTGATGCTTAACTGAAGGTGCCATTCTGGCAATGGAAAACACTGGGGGGGAGGGGGGGTGAGGGGGGTGAGGGAGGTAGAGGAAAGATGTGATTTCAAAAAGCTGTCATAACAAGCCCAAGTTTGTCAAACAAACACCACATTTGATTCATTCTTAGCAGTAAGTCGGTACTGCTTTTACACTGGAGTTTAACTCCCTCCTAGCTTTGTGTAAACTACAGGAAAAGAAATACCGCTATGGAAGCAGCTCTGGGCGCACAACGCTGCTTCCAACAGCTTCACCGCTACAAACAGCTGTAAGGAAAACAAAGTTAGGTAGCGCCCATCCCGGCTGGCTGCGGGCCAGGCTCAGGGCTGGAAAGGGCAGTCAGAGCCTGCCCTGCAGCATGTACTAACGGCCGTGCCGCCCCGGGCCCTGTGCCACAGGCAGAGCCCGGTTTGGAAGTGAAAACCGCACCAAGATGCAGGACAACGACGGGCACTGTCCTGGGGGGAGGGGGAGGGAGCAGTCTCCCAGCAAGCACGCAAAGGGAGGTTCAGCTGGAGCGTGAAGCTGCAAACACAATTTCAGAAGTAACCCTTCTACAACAGCTGCTCAACGCGTCAGATCTTTTGCAAACTATCACGAGGAAGCACATCTGCGCCTACAGAGAAGGGTGCAAGAGAGACAGACTATCCTCTCACCCTGGCATTAGAGTGCCTACCATAAAGCCACACTTCACCATTATTTCCACTCTTTCTGCCATCACAAATTGGGATGCAGACAGAGGACACATGACCACAGCACTGCTGAAATAGTTACGTGCCTTTCTCTGCAGAACCCGTAACCCCAGACCAGCTGCTGGGCAAAACTCAAAGCTAAGCCTGCAGGGCAGTAACCAACCTTAAGAGTCCAGCACAACGCAGCAACAACACAGCAGATGCCCTTCAGCCCTGTGTGGATTCCTGCACACAAGTTAGACTGAACGCTCAAAAAGGACAGTTTATACTGACACCCTTCTCCCTCCATTTTAGCCTTCCTAGGACCAGCACCTTTTAGCAGCAATCCACTGAAAGCACTTCCATCCAGACAAAACTGTGAGCATGCTTTGTAAAGAGAAATGCAAATTAAACAGGGGTCCTGATTTTCCCTCTGGGTTCAGAGTACTTTTCTATATTGGTGAAGAAGCCACGAGAGGGGGCAGCTCAGAGCCTTTCCTGACCCTGCCTGTTTTAACACACCTGTGTTTTCAAGCTGCTCCTAAGTGAAAAAGAGTAAAAACAAAGCTCATGCCACTGACATGATTTCCATTTATTGCCTCTGCTCAAAAGGAGAAGTGAAGCAGCAGCAGGGGGAGGGGGTAGGTGCAGAGGAAGAGGAGCATGCCGTGTACCAGCTTTAAGGACAAGGGAACATGGCTGCGGTGACAGCAGGACAGCTGCATGTGCCCCTGCCTACTCTTGCATTCTTAAGCCCTCCTAATGGAAGAGGAGGTATTTCCCTTTCACCCCTATTCTTGACAATCCCAGCTTCTCGAGCTCTAGTATTTGTTTTTCCCCTTGTCTCACCTGTTAACACTCCTGTTTTCAGGTGTCCAAACCTGCTGTCTCTGACCCTCTCAGGCTGTGGCCATGTTACAGATGACTGCATCCTCCTGCTTCTCAAGAGCTGCCCAAACCTCAGGATACTCAAACTGGAAAACTGTGTGCGGATCACCGACCAGACCCTGGAAGCAGTAACCCTCTATGGGAGCTCGCTGCAAACGCTCCACGTGGATTTCTGCCGGAACATAACACAAACTGGTCTAGAGAGAGTCAGGGAAAAGTGCCCTTCTGTAACGCTGAGAGCAGAGAGGAGCGCTAACATGATCCCAGACAATAAGCCAGGGAAAAAGGTGATGCTTGAAAAAGCATCAAGAAAATTGGTTCAGCTTTAAATGCAACGAACGGTGTAATGTGAGCCACTGCTGCCCTCCTCTAGGGCAGCAGTGCTGCACTGACCTCTGGCGGCCTTCCTGAACTCCGCCTGAGTGCCAACAAAGGCTGCCTTAGGAAAAGGCATCCATCTCCACCTGGACAGTCTCAAGGAGAAAACCTGTTTGCTTTCTCATATTCCCTGGAACTGGAACCCCCTACATTACTGCCTCAAAATGCTAGCCCTAATTAAGGCCAAACCCTGCAATTCTGATACCCTCTTGTCACAGACAAGTGGAATGCACCTCACTTGGAGGAGAGCAGCAGTGGTATGTTTTATGAGGTAAAACAATAATGGGAGAGAAATGGAACATTACAAAGTTTAACAGTGGTTTGACAGGGTTCAGTAAGTTTAATATCAAAGGTCACCTTATTAATCACTGCATGGAAGAAATATACAAAGGAAATATACAAACTCAAAGGAATTTGAATTGAGTTGGAATGAGTGAGACAAAGCCTGGAGACACAAAGAGTAAGGAGGACACTCCTGCTAAGTCCCAAGGTTGAGAGTGAACCCTCTTGCTTTCTGAGCTCCTTAGTTAAAGTGCACAAAGCTGCAGCAGATAGAGCCTGGGTAATTGCACAACCTACACAGATACCCGTTTCTGTTAAAAGATACACCCATACGCTCATCCACCCATGCACAGTGAGAACCACACCAGCCAAGATCTAGCAAAAGCAGAACAGCTGACAACCATCACTTCCTCAGTGATCAATGGCTGTGGCTAATGGGCCAGACTTGTTCACTAAATGAAGGCTGCACGGCAACGTACAAAACACAGGCTGAGCCTTCGCATTACGGACTTCGACCAGATATGCCAGGTTATTGTTTGGAAGTTGACATCAATGCAAGTATGATACAAACAAAATGCTAGTTCACAGAACTTACCTCCAGGACAAGACAGTGACTTCCAGCCGGTAGCTTTCAATGCCAGTTGAGGAACACACTGCAGTACAGAGCTACATAAACACCTGTTTCTCACTGCAAAGTACAAAACCAACATCCATCTTCATCCCAAACCACAGGGCTGTTCCTTTCCCGCGTGCTGCTCTGCTGCATGGAAGTGAAACATTTTCCATCAAGGGTTCCTATGGTGTTGCCTAAAAAAACTGACCCCAAAGGCTGACAGTTTTATTCTGCTGTATAAAACCTGTCTTGAAATCACACACTGGGATTTGGTCGGGGTAGTGAGTGCTGGGATTGGGAACACTGCTCCAAGACTTGAGGCGTGTACAGATTTGCCTGAATAAAGACAAATGTTACTGTGTCAGCTGTAGTGCAGGTACCTGTCAGCAGTTCTGCCCATAGACTCTGGCTCAGTAATCACACAGAACAATCAGTGTGATCATCCAGCATCAATTACTCAGGGTTTTGCCTCAACTCCAGCATGCTATTTTCCAAAGCAGTCTGTCTCCTCCCCTGTGCTTTATTGCACAGGCACATCCTCAAATTCCACTTTCCATTATTGTCCATTTTGTTCACCAATTCTGCCACGAATTCAGAATTCGGACTCCTGGGGAGCACACCATAATCTAGAATCCTGCCCACTCCTGCTGACTCTGCCACTCGCCTTGTATTTACCTGAAATGTCTCTCCCATTCAACACGAGCCACCAAAGAGCTTTACACTTACAAAGAATGACAGATGGGTAACTCACGCCATGGATAACTTGGTTGCCCTGGAGGACCAGGTGTCAGTTCAGCTTAGACATCAAACAGAGGGCTGCACACAGACTAGGGAAACTAACAGTTCCAGCTGAAATCACAGTGAAGTCTACAGCAGTCAGGATTTCATTTTAAACTCAAACCTTACACAGAGTAGAAATACCTGAGTGTGTGTCTCCTTAAAATTAAAGCACGTTTAGAAAGACTAACTTTTGGAAATATTTTTCAGTCCCATGGAGAGAGTCAGCCTTCCTGTTCCAACTGACAACAATCACCCAAAACTTGGACACTACAGCAGCCTCTGTGCACATACCACAGCAAGCCTCTTTCTCCTTGACAGGAGAGGCTCTGCAGTTGCTGATAATCTTCCTGCACTGGTCAGAACACAAATGAAATATACTAGTTACAGACATGTAACCTGGAACTTTTATCGCTGGAATTCAAGTATATCAAGACTATCAAGGCTTAAACAACCTGGTATCTCTGCTGCATTTTAACAGTTGTATCTACACACAGAGCTTTGCAGACTACGTGTCTGCATCTTTTATGTAACTGGAAGACCACAGAAGCCAGCTTTTCCTCTAAGGAATGGAATTTGTAACCTCTTAAATTCCTACTTATCGACTTATTAAAGGTTGCCACAAATATCTAACCTGATACATGTTTTTCTTCAGTTAGAGAACAGCATGACTGTAGCACCTCTTTGCTAAACCAAAAAGAGTATGTGACGAATGACTGTTGAAGTAAAGCAGACATTTCCCCCGCCCTGGCATCTAAACTGTAGAATCGAGTTGTGAAGTTGGGCCTCAATTACTCAGGAATACCTGGCCTGATTTCCCAACTTCTCATGTGTTCTTTTTCCCATACTGTCTCTCTTTTCATTATAGCTATGTGCAACTTGAGGTGTCACAATGGAGAACTTGGCTCTGATGCCTGAGGTAGTCTTGAAAGAAAGATTCATTTCAACTGACTCACTGTCCTTCATTCATGTTTGAACAGAAGGAGAGAAAACATGTTATCAAAATTCCACCTGAAGCCAGTTTTCTTACTGCAGGAGTACTACTGTACAACTGGATTTCCAATCAGTTTCTCTAGAAAGGTAAATTTAACACAATCTCAGCAGAAATATTTTAATAGACTGCATCCTGGGCTCTTGTTCTTTCCCCTGCAGGAACTGATGAGCTAGCCAGGAACTCCTGAAAGCATTCCTTATGTGGTGCATCAAAAATGGAAAGAGAACTTTACAGCTCTCAGCAGAAGTCAATGTACTTACTTCTTGCCATGCTGGTTAACTGATCCACAGATATCCTTTGGTACTCTCTAATCTGGCTGAGCTAAGAAATATATCACAGCATTACAGACTCAGTTAAACACAGCTGAAATTCTACAGAAATACTTGATGGGTATGAGTAACCATAAGAAACTCACCCAGAAGACAAATAAAACCAATCATTTCATCACAGCAGCATGCCACTGGAATATTCTGTTATTCCATTAACTCGTTTCTAACATTTAAATAAACACGTAACAGAACAAAACTGGAAGCCCAGACAGGAAGGACAAACAGCATACCTAAACTAGCAATTACAACTTGGAAAAGAGATTGCTGGACTGAACAAACTCACTGTGATGTGGAAATAGGGATGGTGACACAATTCTTACCTTGAACACACAACTTGTGAAAACCCCCAGTTTCAAATACTGCTGACAAGCCAAAACAAGGCAGGAATTCTGTACAGTCACATCCGTAACCAAAGACCTTCTCCTGATGCCAGCTCACTAAGCACTCCGATGAAAGATGCATCTCTGTAGAGCTGACACACAGAAGATTTGCAAGTAGCTACAAGAAGTGAGAGTGGGTGTGCATCTGCCTCTATCTTACTTCTGCCTTTTTGCCAGTTTTCTATCAGGACTGTTTGGGGGCAGTGGTAGTGTGGGTTTTTTACTTGGCAGAGCTACAGAAGGCCTTAGAACACTCTCCTACTTGGTTTCTTTGCGTATTTGTGTACAAATGCTCAGTCATATTACTTTGCCTGTCCTCTCCTTGAATGGGGATATTGGTTCATGACATGGTAAAAATTTGAACACACGTGCATTGATACATTTTCTCAGCACCCATAATAATGTTATTGCTTAGCAATCCAATTTGAAAAGTGAGTATATAATGAGTACATTTTATTGAGGGTATTAGGTAAGGATGGATGCATGTTAATGATTTTTTTCTGTTCCAAGACATTTGAGCTCTGTCAAAGTTCTCTTAAGATTACCGAAACCCTTTTTACTCTTCACAGACCCCAGCTCTAACTTCCCAAGGTGTGGAGGGAGTACAGTTGTTATTTATCATTTTATGAAAGTACTAACAGAAAGGTGATGTAAACTGAGATGCCTATTTGGAAGATGCAGCAGGTTATCAGGTGCAAGTGGCAAACAAGGCTTCCTTAAGTTCTGTGCCTCCAAAGCTTGTGCCTTTTCCTATGTGATAGGGTAAAAGCAACAGCCAGCCAGACCCTTCAGATTTCCACTGTAACAACGTACCTGAGCTTGGCAATAAGGTAAAAAGAAATTCAACAAAGGCCTGTCACACAGTCAAATTCCTTACTTACCAACAGAGGCATTTCTTTTTTTTTGCCATTGCACTTCATCACACAGTCAAAAGGGCTAAAGGACAGATCTAAATCAAGCTTCCAGAAGTGACCTAATTGCCTGTTCACCTCTTTTGTGGAGAGTACATACTCCTGTTCAAGAACACGTTCTGCTCTTCCCAGTCCCCTCTAAGCACAACACATTCCACCTCCACCAGCTAAACCAACACTACCACCAGCTCCAGTAAGAGTGAGGCTTCAAACTCATATAACTTGCCTACCTCTAGTCACAGGGACTGGCTGTTCTTCTCTGTTGTAGTGTGCCTACCTGTTTCAAAGGGCTATCCAGCTGTCCGATAGCCCAGAAGGCTACAGAGGTACTTCCTAGGTAGGAAAGAAAAAGCAGGAAAAAATGATTGGAAATACCAGGGGTGGTAGAGGAGAAATTACCTTATCCCTGGGTGAAACCAGGATAAGCAACAGAAATTATGGGCTTTGAGAAACAACAGCCTTATATGTTATTTCTGTAGCTAAAGCTTTTTCTCTGGTTATGTTTATAATTAAACACTTCAAGTTTACTGCGCCTCCATCTCTCATTATGTGCAGTGGGTCTAGATAAACACCTTGTCACACACACCTTGCAAATGCTATGCATCTGTTAGCACTGACACTCCCTCCTCCAGTCATACACAGATGTCCCACCCAATGCTGAAAGGCTGAGCTGCACATTTATTTTC